GGTGTCTGGCCCCTGGCCCATCTCTGGTGGCTGGTGATAGCTGCAGCTCAGTGAAATGCTCTCTCCGGAGCAACATTTTCTCAATATTGTTGTTTGTGTTCTTCCCTCCCGCGTGTTTATCTGCAGATTCACATGCTACCCACAGCATTATAAATAAATCTGCAGCTGCTCAAAACCAGCAGACGCAACTCTGGCCGGCTTCCCACCAGAAACCACGCTGCTCCCCACGGGACGGTTAGGAGATAAGTGCCTGTCCTTTTCACTTTGAAGATGCTTTTAATAAGCAACTTTCTGCCAGTGCGGGGGCCCGTCACCAGCGCTGCTGCCTCCTATGAGGGCACATCAGGGTCTCAGCTCAAGCACTTTGCATCACAAGATGCGTCATCACCACCATACCACCACCTCCAGGTGCTCCACAGCCACACTAAGATGCTGTCAAGCTGATGATCTGCCATGTCAGTGATCTGGGTGGGGGGCTTCAATGCTTCTGCTTGGTCTGAGACTGGGAGGGGAGGACAAGACTGGGGTCACTGGTGCCAGCAGGGGGATGGCCAGGATGGCCAGTGACAGGACCCAGGGACAGTGGCAGAGAGGCTGGAGGAGCCAGGGATTAACAGAGGAGCTGTGCACATTGCAAGCACACTTTTCTGTCTCCAGAAAGACAACTTCCATGGAGTTTTGCCAGTTTAGACCAGTTTAGAGCATCTGGCCTCAAGTTTCTCAGAAGTCCTGGCAAATCCTTCACATTCACAGGCTCCAAACTCATCCAGATAAAGAAACAGCTGGACAAATAAATAGCCCCACAGATAGCTGGAGCCTCCACCCTCATTTTTCCACCCACAACTTTTTCCTTTCTCCTTTGCCTTCTCCTATCAGCTTCTCCTTCAGGATAGGAACCCTGCCAGCATTTTAATCCCTGCACAATATTATTAACACAGGGAGCGAGCTTCCAGGTTGACCCAGGATCGCATCAGCTGGGGCCACCGCTGGGCATGCAAAGAAGGCAAGAAGTTGCCCAGACCTCTCCAATGGGCTGGGAGCAAAGTCACCCCACGGCATACATGGCAGTGGGACCATGCTTTG